TTAGAAACGAGATGAGAGCTAGTTCTAAGCTTGTGGCTTGTTTGTTGTCATAGCAACTCCATAGCAGCTACCTGCCAAGATGGCTGTCAGTTACAAAGTTACAAACTTCCGTGGATTTTTAAAAGGATAAGTGGCAACACTGCCGAGAACACAGCTTGGTTGGAGCTGAACTCGTAGCCAACTTCTGGTCCTTTTTCTCACAAACACATTTTAGGCAATTAAAGTAGCTAAACTATTCTTTTTATACTAAGAAAAGATATTCCTCGTTATTAACTCAGACTGTTTCATTCCTGCTCTCGTCTTCTGTTAATTTGATTATTGTTTATATTTTATTCCTTATGTTTTCAATGCCAAACCTGTTTTTCCGGATTCTGTAAGGAGTTTTTCTTTTTATTCTGTTGGGTAGTAATTTACCAAAACCAAGTCAGAACTACAACATGTCACAAGAAAGAAAGCAAATAAAAAGAAAAATATCTTTAAATTGGCAGTTTTTAACCATTTTATGGGACATTAATGATTGAATCCCATATTTTCTTCACCCTGTCAGATGTCAAATATCTTTGCTTTGCTATCAACAGGATAAACAAACAAAATAAACATGTATAAAAGATGAATTTTATCACAGTTTACGTCCAGCACAGTGGGGAATCCCTGAGTTTTAACCATGCAGGACATTTCAGCTGAAAGGTGTGAGCATTTAATTTACAGATGCAACGTGTTAGCGCTGTTGTTCTTTTTATTTCCTCTCGTTAAGGTCGGACTGTTTCTTTTTATCATCGGCTGCAGATCTGTCATCTGTTCTGGCTCATTTACTCCAGCAGTGACACGCTCACAAAAACCAGGTTCAGCTTTGACTCAGAATAATTATCTCACAGAAATGTTGGTTATCTTCCGAACTTGTTTTTTTCTCAGTTTTATTTTGCTCATTACTGGTTCTGGCTCCACCCTGATTCTCTTTATTTACACAGAAGAAGACATAATTAATTTAGGATTTGTTTCTTTTTGTTTTTATAGAACTGCAGTTTCATTTTTTGTGGATTAGATATTTAAGTGATACACAACAATAAACAACAAATATAAAGAAGCTTATTATCTGAGTGGATAAACCAGGGCGATTCAAACTGTGGCTCAGGAGCCATTTCTGGGCCGTGGACTGATTTTGTGCAGCCCTGTCAAGAAGGGACAAAAAAATTGAGGGACATTTATATTCACAACTTAAATCTGTATTTGAAAATATTTTTTCCGATTTTAATTCAGCTTGCTAGTTTATGTTAAATCCAAAACAATAAGATTCTGATTTAATTAAATTATTATGCAACTCAGACAGATTTGGATGGTCTTTCAATGAGAATTAATAAAAATATATCTAAAAAATAGAAGGCATTAAAGTAAGAACTTGATTACATTTGTTTAAAATGGTTTAATTCTGGAGAAAAAACACATTTAAGTCCAGAAAGTCCAAATATAAGTGATTAATTTATCTGAGACTTCTAAAGGAAATCAACTCTGTTAGGAACCCTCATTACCCACCCTGTGATAATCATTTAATTATTATTATTTTATTTTTATTCTCCTCCTGCTGGGTTGCTGTCAGATAAAGGCCAACAGTGCCACAAAATCCCAAAAATAAAATGGCTAATTCAAATTTAATCATACAAATGTTCTGGAAATTTATGAACTCTGCAACTTTTCATTTCTCACAATACAATTGACATCTTTCAAGATGTAGTGGGACTTTACTGACATAAAGTAGCACATAAATGTGAAGTGGAAGATAAATGATGCTGTAAATGTATTTTTTGTTTGTTTGATAAAATCTGAAAGGTGCGGTGTGTATTTGTGTATAGTTTACTTTGCAGAGCAATGTTTGATCCAATTAGAGCTGCAAGACTTCGGAGAACGGCTCTACAGCTTTTCCTTTAGAGATTTTTGCCATTCCTGCTGCCATTTCTCTGCTGCCATCTTTGTTTCTGTGTCCACTGTCTGGTTCCACTTAAGGATGACGAGCGTCGCCCTCTGCTGGATGGCGGTCAAACGACAACAAGAGAAGGTGTAAGTCAGCGGTGGACAACTCCAGGCCTGGAGGGTCTCCTGCAACTTTTAGATGTGTCTCAACTTCAACAGTCAAATAATGAGGTCGTTAGCAGGACTCTGGAGAACCTGACTGCATTGAGGGGATGATTCAGCTGTTGGATTCAAGTGCGTTAGACCAGGCAGACATCCAAGAGTTGCAGGACACCGGCCCTCGAGGACCAGGATTGCCCACCCCTGGTCTAAGTGGACGTTAATAGTCAATCGATTGGAACTAATTTTAATCTGAAAAGTCAGCAATCAACAGTTAATCATAAGTCGATTAACTGTTTACATCCTTACCTGCTCAGCTAAGCTGCGAGTTGTTTCCGCTCGTCCTTGACTTCATCTTGTTCCAGCTCGTCTTCCTCTAATTCTCCTCACTTGCTGGGTCACATCGCAGCAGCGTCGCTGGCCTCGTGTGAGGAAAATTTACAGCCCCATGTAACCATCTGCTCTGCAGCAAACGCATGATGCTTGAGCTCCTTCATCCTCTTCGCTGTGCTGCTTTGTATTGTAAATGTGCTATTAGCATTCATGAAGGTATTTACATGCATTTCAGAGCCAAGCTGCCTGGTAGTTAAACTGCACACAGCTTAAAGCAAAAGTTATGGCACCTTCCCAAGTTATAATGGCTTTTCTTCAATGGATGATCTAGTAAAGACCAGTTCTTGGCTGTAATCTTAATTTTTTCTACCAAGAAACTAAAATGTAAAACGATTTTATGTATCAGGAGATAATCAGTTTTATAACAATCTATGACACATAGACTATTTAAATTTAGAATCTATTTGTCATTTATTTAAGACAGAGCCAAAAAGATAAAGTTGTGTGTTGTGTTACCACGTATTTCTGGTATATTTTTTCTGCAAGTATCTTAGCACACCTGAAATAAGACAAAATTCACAAGTAACTTCAGCAAGACATATGAGTTTGATTTAAATCAATAATTCTGTACTATTGATGAAAAAGTTTGAGTTCCACTGGCAGATTATTTCACTTGTAACATCAGAAAAATGTCTTGTAACAAGTGAAAAACTGCCAGCTGAACTAGCATTTTTCACCAATAATAATGAATTATTTAGGCTTCGATTAAACAATTCCCAAAGAGCTATTAGCTGTAAATTGGCATCACGTAGATGACAACTTATTACATACAAACTTGAAGACAAGTAGATGTAAAACATTTACGCATTTGTTAAAAAAACAACAACATGGTTTTGAGATGTAGAAAATGAGACAAAGCTAAATAAATTACAACATTTGAACAACTTTCCTCCAACCAACCAGTGGCTGTTGGTTTGAGGTTGGATATTTGGGTCTGAACCAGGAATCAAATATTCTAATAACCTCTGATGTCAAGATGAGTGTTCACATTTTTTATGGAAGAAGCATAGTCTCATTAAAATAAAACTCAATTTAGACATTAAATTGATAACTATCGGTTTTTATTCTGTGGAATTATGTATAAATATATATATTTATTTGTACTTTCAAGCTTCAGGCTTTAGTCTGCTCAGTTCCGCCTGTTTTGATCTCCTTTTGGAACGAGCTTTTAGGACGTCTGTAACTTTAAATCCATGTAAGCTGCTGCTGGCCACGCCCCCAACTCTACCTTTACGCTTGTACATGAAAATAGCTGCAAACAAATTTGCAGTTATACAATGATACATCTTTGAAAAGCAGTAGTAGAGCCTCCTGCACAATCAACCAGAATGCAGCAAGAGGTTTCTGAATGGTAAGTCAACAACAAAACACTGCACCNACTGTCCTGGAACTCAGCTTGGGTTGCTAGGTAACGGGCTGAGCTTGACTGGGGTTGCTAGGTAACAGTCAGTGCCTGCAGTTGTGACTTGCATTCAGGAGGTTTTTGAAATGGTTCTTTTTCCACACACCAAAAACATAAATTTCTTGCCAAAAACCTGTTGAGTGTTATTTTTAAGAGTTTGGGGCGTTTTTAGAAGCAGTAGATACTCAAATGGAAGTACAAATACGTACAAAATATGAATTTTACAAAATAGGTCCCCTTTGAAGGTCAACAGATAAATCAGAAAGTAAAGATGACCAGTATTGTTCGTATTAGTCAAGGATTTTACTGGCATTGCGTGAGTTCTCCGCATACATGTACATGTAATTAGGATAATCAGAATGAAATTGCATTAGGCTGTAATCTCTGAAATGCTGCTATTAAACATACAGGTCCTTTTTGTTTTTCAGTTATTTCTCCGGTTTCAAGGGGACAGGGTCAAATGTTTGACAATTAGCATCAAAAATCCAACAATTGACAATATTAGCCCCCATCTGACACCACTGAACTCCCCGATCAGCACAACACAGAGGGACGGATTTGCATAATAATAGTCAGAAAACGTTACACGGGAGATAACTGACTGTGGCCCGCTGGCATTTATCTGGATGCTCCTCTGTATGCTGGAGACGTGCCTCCTCTCCTCAAGGCCTTTAGTGGCTGATATTGTGCTCGGCTCTTGATGACTGAGAGAGCAGAGCTAATACAGCCGCGCCGGCTTTTACAGCCACATCTATTACTGCCACTAACTGTCCCATTTGTCCTCATGACCAAACAACAACTGAGGGTTCTGGGAAAGGAGGTTGCTTGGTTTTGTGTACAATGCATAAGTTTTTCATTTGGTCATTACAGGCTCCCTCGCTGACACAGTCATTATTTTTAGTCACCATTAAGGGCTTATTGCTCCTTTTTTAATTAAGCAAGTTTCTTAATTAGATGTGCAGCATTGAGGCCTACAAACGGCCCGCCGAGGTAATGAAATAAAGGCCTGCGTTTATGGAGGGAGAATGGGTAAAGGGAGTGTGTGTCTGTGTGGGTGTATTCATGGAGACGTCAGGCTTCTGCTGCCGGGAGTGATGGCGTTAGTTCATTTATTGCGTTGCGCTGTGATAAATGCGTTTGTAAGGCAAAAAGCCTCGCCACAAGGCGAATACTTCCTTCATATTAGTCACCATTGACATCTTATTTTGCAGTGGCTTGATCTAGTTAGTGCTGTCGCAGTCAGAAGTTGGTTGACAAACGTTAGCATCTGAGCGAGACGTGCTCTGAACAGCAACAGCTGGCCATCACAAAAGGAAGGAGATAACCTCCCCCACCACCTTCTGTGTAAGAGTTAAAATGCACTTTGCTAAATAACAAATTTGATTTATTTTACTTTCTTAAAATCTGTGAATTTTATCTTTTGAGCTTTTATTTTGAAGATCCAGTTTTGTGCGTACGTGACTTCCTCTCCCTCACATTACTGCCGTTGGAAACGCTACTGGTGCTTTTTCGGTATTTTCTTTGTAAATATCTCTTTTTTGTTGTAAACTAGAGTAGGTATTGTTCACGATATATTCTTAAATGTTACGGTGACACTTGACAGTTATTTTAAGCGTAACTATAACGTTTAATGACTATATTGAAACATACCCTTTAGTGTTCAGTGGGCGCCATTTCTAGCCCCCTCCTGTGGTGTGTTACTGTAACTGCGCTTTCGATCAAGTTTATTTGTATAACATTTCAGCAACAAGGCTGTTCAAAATGCTTTACATCATTAAAACACGAAAACATAAAGTCACAATTACAACTTTCAGTCACCAATTTCAGAATAAACATTACATTTTGTCGAGTGCCATAATCAAAAACTTCGATTTATTATTTTGCCGTTATTTTTTTGCTTAAGTTTTCTTGCACATGTAGGAGTCAGAAGTGTACATAACACCAGAGGACAGCAGATGTGTGATTTATTGTCTTCAGTGGGTGAGTTTCTGCTCATTTGGCCAACTTTTGAAAACATTTAAAATTTGGGCTGCTTTTCAGAACATTTGGTGAGTTTTTAGAAAGTATTAAGAGGAAAATTCATTTGAAATAATTGCCATTGTGTGGCAGAAAAGTACAAAAGCTTTTATAAAATGCTGTGTTATTCCACATATTAAATTTGTTAATTAATTTTGATATGTTCAGAATCTAGATAATGTGATACCAGCAATGATTAGTCATTGGTTAATCAGGTCACAATGTACTAGTGTTTTCATTTATCAGCCTTTTTAACACAATACCAGAAGTACGTTAAACGATGCAAATAAAAAAGGAATTCAGTTCCTTTTTTAAATAAGAAAACAAACATTTTATTGCCCAAAAATGCAATTACATATCACTCCTTTAGTAAAGCTGAACCATAGGAAGCTAAAACTATTCCACTTGAGGAGTTTTGGGTAAAACATATTTACAAACAAATGTTTTTTTTATATATATATATGCAAAATGTATATTTTTTGCACAGTTTTGAGTTAATTACTGTTCTGAAAATGTTTTTTTTTCAGCAAATGGCCTTTTTTAACTGTATACACTAGTTAGCGATTAATTGATTACAAAATTAGTTTATGATTATTTTATTAATCACGATTAACCCAATTAATTTCATTGTATTTGGCCTAGAAACTGTCAATCAGATCTGGCAACCTTGATTGTTTTTTGTAGGAGAGAAAATAAATGTTGAGCTTGTACTTCAGTTGACAATCAGTTACAAAATTAGTTAATGGTTATTTCAGTAATTGATTAATCACAATTAATCGTTTCAGCCCTAATATATATATTTATATGGATGGCACTAGATTAGGGCTGTTTTTTATTTTATGTTTGGGCTGGAAACTGTTAATCATATCTGTCAACCCTGATTGACTTCTGCAGGAAAGCAAATAAAAGCTGAGGAAATAGAAGCCCAATGTGTCGGTTTTCTGTTGAACCTTGAGTCTGTGTGGTTCTGTAACATCTGCAAGATGTTTTTGTTTTTTGTGCGCTTGCATCTGTTAGTGGGGTAATTCAGGCGGTGCGCATCGATACATCACACGGCTCTCCAAATTGAGCTCTGAAACACAAAAGGGAAGGGCAAACAAGATGGACGCAGAAATCAATCTCTCGCCTGATAACACGGAGTGAACGCATATGCTGCCACTCTGAGGAGTGACAAGGCGTCGGCATATGGCTGTATCTGGCTATCTGCCTGTGATGTCCTCCGAAAACAATCATCTCTGACGTGCCGAACACGCGGCAGCCGCAGATAAGGCTGTTTAATGCTGACTGAGCTTGAGGAATATGGACATGAATTGCCTCTTGGAATATGGAAGAAGAAAAGACAATCAGCGCGGAGAAAATATGTCACAAAAACAGCCATATTCACTGCATTTCCATTTATTTCAGAGGAGTTTTAAGCTGCGCAGCAACACCCAGAGCGTGGTTGTCTCTGCTGCAGAGGGAACACGGTGTCTGTGTTACTGTTCCCAAAGGCCAGACTTGATCTCAGCCCAGCCTCCGAGCTGCTATTGATCTGAAGCACATTAGTTCTGCACTGGGGGACTAAACAAGGCCTGCAGAGCTCTGCCACAATCACGCAGCAGGCTAAAGATAGGCTTTTGACTGGAGACCTGTGCAGAAATACACAAAAACATACTGCGGTCTATTTGGAGGGTTTAAACCCAACGTCCTGCAGACGTTCCCACTGATTCTGTCTGATTGATAACAGATTGGTTTTGGGAATTCAGCTCCTATTTTCCTAGTTCTTTGAACTTACTTTAAAAATTCAGCTAAACTGACGTTAGCTCAACCTTACATTTGGCAGATGAAGATTTTCTTGAAAGGTTTTAGGTTAAATCTTAAAATTGTTTATTTAAGCAGTTAAATTGTAATTTAAAGGGACAGTATTATGTGTTTTCCAGCCACACAGTCCCACTTTATAGCACAATAAAGTAACTAAGCTTCCTTGAGTTGTTATAAGACTGCTGTATATATGACTAAAGAAATCTGACTTCGTAACTTAACGCTTTGAGATTGGGTCTCTGTCTCTTTAAAACTCTGGCTCTTTCTGAAGCTCCGCCTTCAGAAAGTCATCACAGCACCGCTCCGCTAGTAACTCTTTAACAATGTTTTTACCAGCGTTTTACTGAGAAGTAGCTCCTAAATGTTCAGCAGCTCCACCAGGTCTTTGCTAATTACTTCTGGCTAGTCTGAAGGAGCTGAGTGAGGCAGAAGCTTCGAAACTGCAGCAATGATCAAATTAAGTAACTAAAAGTTATGCATGCAAGAACAAAAAAACAGGAAATAAAAAGTTGAATAACTAAATAAATTCAACAATGCAACAAAAAGTTGATGAAGTCAAAGCAAAAAAATGGGATAAAATGTTTTTATTTATCCAGGTTCTGGGTAATATTTCCACTCCTTTCTTGGACAACATGGGTTTTTACTTTAGCTACGCTCTGTAAAGGCATGTTCCCCTGTTGCTGCCACAGGTACATCGTAATGCCGAGCGTCTCCAGGTTTTTTTTTTCTTTTTTTGAGCGTATGGCTGCCTTCCAGAACCATATCTGCTGCATGTCCCTGGAGAGAAACCTGACAGAAAAATGCTATAAGACAAGCTTCAAAGGACACACAGAGATTGCCTCCACCAAACAAACCCCACCCCCTCGCACTCGTTCCCGTTAGGCTTCCTTCATGCATCACATGGGCGAGACGGAGGCATGCAAGTAAGGCAGGATGGAGCGGGTACATTTGCAAGCCGTTCCCTGGAGGGGCTGTAAAATTGCCTCCATTTGGATGGACCGTCAGCGGCCAGGGGGCTCCTCTCCCCAGACAGCCGCATCAGTGCGGCTGCATCCCTCTGATTCTCCTCACCAGCTCCCGCCTCGGGCTCCCGGCCTCGCTGCGTGTGCCATCTGTGCCCGGCAGAAACCCAGGATGAAGTTCTCGCTCCCCCGGTTAATCTTCCCCGCGTTTGATAGGAGTTGCTGCGCCATGAGAGACGCCAACCAACGCAAAGATCCAACAAAGGCAGAAGCAGAGAGTAAACATGAGCTGGATTTACGCTGAGCTGCAAGCCGACTGAATATCTGGACACAAATCAGAGCCGTTTGTCCTGAAATAAAAATAAACTGACATAAGATTATTGTTTATGATGTAATCCACTGACTGCTGATTCTTTTAGTCCTGCAAAACATTTGTTCTGGTACAAGTTTAGTAGGAAATTTAGGAAAACAAACTGTTTCTGTGCAGAGCATAAAGCAGGGGTGGCCAAACTTTTTGTCATGTGGGTCAAAATCATCACATCAAAAGTATTCCTGAGCCAAGAAGTCAAGAAAACAGAAATCAAGCACGTCCGGTTTATTTATTTATTATAGGACAGGAATGTTTTTCATTCCAGATCCAAAATGTAAAAAAGATTTTTAACGTTTACTGTGTTTAAAAAAAGACACCTAGTTCTTACATTTTGAGAGGCTCGATTGAACAAATTTATCTAAATGTAAGATTTGGGTCACTTTCTTTCAAAATGTTTGCTATATTTAGCCAAGTTTGATAAATCACATAAAAGTTGTTTTCAGGGCTTTTCAGTAAAGGTCTCTAAATAATCATGGTTCTACTTATTTAAAAACTTGAATATAAAAAAAAATCATTAGTTTGCATTGTAAGAAAATTATGTCTGAAATATTTTACCATGATTAAAAATAAAAAGTTCAAGAAACAAATTTTGTGCCATTCTTTAACTGCAGTTGGGGGCCACACAACATCAGTTCAAGGGCCAAAAATGGCCCCTGGGCCACACATTGGACACCCCTGGTATAAAGCAAAGGGAAAGTCATCAGTTGGAATTTGAACTTAGTCGTAGATTTTGAACAAAAACTCAAAATGTTACCAAGTATTTTTAGTCTAGTTTCTAGTGCAAATATCTTAATACTCGTCAAATAAGACAAAAATAACAAATAAGTAATTTTTCACCAAGAAACAGGAGCTTGTTACATTCACAAATAGTTTTACTCAAACAAGTAGAAGCCATAAATAAACAGGCAAAAACAACGATGAAAAACAACTTTAGTCGCAGTTTTCCCGTCCCTCACTTCTGACGTCCGTCATGGCGCCTCGAATGATTAAGTGACGTAGTTGCAAAGGGTCAATTAAAAATTATAATGCTTATTTTTTTCCCCCAGAACATAAAACAAGCAGTCTCACTCTTCGGGGCGCACCGACAGCCAGCATCTCTGCGTCTCTGCCACAACTGTTTACCGTGATGATCAGAGGACTGAAGTGGATTTGGTTGGGGGAGAAGAAGCAGCGCTGATGCCAAAATGCTGGATGAGCTTCTGTCTCACAGGGCTTTAAATGCGTCTCACATTCTCTCCTCCGAGGAAACACGAAAAGGGAAGGGAGATCCAGGCTCATGTTTGTTTTACGCTCCCCCTACTCAAAGGGAAATATTCATTAGGTCCTCCTCAGAAATGTAGAAAGCCTGAGAGGCAAATGATGGATGGGGGCTGAGATGGAGTCGAATGGAAAATCAACAATTTGTGTTGGTGTTTATTCGCCTGCACATCCCTTTGTTACCAAACATGATGAGAGAACATCCGTTATTTGGGAAATAATGGCCGTGTTATGGAGCAGCCGGGAACATTAGGGCACGGCGATAGCGTATCTGGGCCTGGTGGGTACATTAGTTTGTAAGTAATGCACGCCCTGAGCTCTGGTAAGCTTTCCAGAGATGTAATATGAGAGCCAAATGAGAGTTGTAGTCATTTCGTGGACTGACGGAGGGGAAATGCATCATCATCACAAACTGATGCATTTACAATAACTCGTTCCAACAAATGGGGAGTAATTCATACGAGTCTCTTTACTGGCCTGCAGACAAGCAGAGAACCAACAAAAAGAGCTGCTGCGTTACGACTCCTCCAATAAATTATCGTTTACAACATCAAAGTGTTTTGGGAAGGAAGAGAAACTGACAATTTAACCGCAACATTATCAAGCAACGCTTTGCTAAAGCATTTTTTATGTCACAACTACAAATCTCAGAATATTTTATTGGGATTTTACGGGATAAAGAATCAGAGATCAGTGCGTAATTGTCAGGTTAAATATTTTGGTAGCACTTTATTTGAAGGGGGTTGAATAATACTGACATGACACTGTCATAAACATGAAATAACTCCTGTCATAAACATGAATAAGCCTTCATGAATATTTATGACTATTGTCATAAAGCGTCATTCGGTAAATTATGACACTTTTAATACAAAGTTGACATTCAAAATGTCTTTGTTATGACAACTTGACATTAACCAAGAAATAATTACTATTTAAACTATACCTTTAATAACATAAAGTTACCTAATTTTTAAAGTGCAATCAGTAATACTTTTATAACAAATTTATATCAGTAATGATTTCTTGGTTAATGTCAAGTTGTCATAACAAAGACATTTTGAATAATGTCAACTTTGTATTAAAAGTGTCATAATTTACCGAATGACACTTTATGACAACAGTCATAAATATTCATAAAGGCTTATTGATGTTCATGATAGGTGTTATGACATGTTTATGACAGTGTCATGACAGTCTTATTCACCCCCCTTCAAATAAAGTGTTACCAATATTTTTTACAAGTAAAATCCTTAAAAATGAGCTGCAAATTTGTATTGTCACATGAGTCACATGATCAACAACTGGTGTTACTACTGGCGAAAACATCGAAGAAGAAGACAGGAAGTGGTAGGAGGATGGTGTTCTTATTAAACGGAAAAACCACAATTGTGAAAATTTTGACAGAGTTTTGCATATATTTTTAATGGAAACACAGCTGTAACTAAGTCCTACCAGATTCTTTCCCCTTGTTGAAGAAACACATTCCCACACCATGTTGCTGCCACCACCGTGCTCACAGATTCAGATCTGTGTTCAAAATTCAAATATTTTGATAATTTTGATGAAAAATGAAGTGAATTTTGGAAAACATCAGGTTCTGCCATGGGTATGAATTATTTGTAACATAAATGTCTTAAACCCTGATGTACATTTTATCTGTGATTTGATTGACAGCGCTGAGACCCGCCTCCTGGTTCTGATTGGTTGTTTTTGACCAGGAACGATAAATTTCCTCAGACAGTAATAGTAGGTCAGGAAGGTGGAGGAGATTTATTTTTTTCACAGATTACCACAACATGGTGACAGTTTTAGCAAATATGTAAAAAACATTTATTTTCTAAATGTTACAACCTGTGGGTTAAGAGCTGCACGTTTTTCCTGTATGTTTGTTCTGCAGAAGATCTGACAAGGTTAAAATAATGTGTATTTCAGTGTTTTTACCTGACCTGCATGAGAGTTTTGTTTATTCCCCTGCAAAGTTGCAAAAGTCAATGTCAAGAATGTCAAGCAATTACAAAAATAAGTGTTTGTTCAAGAAGAATCTCTCAAGTTTAGAAGAAATAAAACAATAGAGGTCAGAACCAGCTGCAGTTTCAGATGAAAGCTGTGTCACCTGAGAGGTTTTTTTTTCTGTTCATCTCAGAGCTCCTTTCTGTTCCCAACATCTCAAGTCCCTTTCATCAATAGACATTCGGCAGCGGCCATCAGCATCTGAGCCCGGAGCTCTTTCCCAATCTCCCCTAAATGGCACCTCCTCCCCAGCCTCCAAATCCCATCCACATCAACCTTCAATCTTCATCCTCCCACTCTCCTGGCTTATTGATTTTCTATTTTCCCTTTCTTTCCCTTCTCTCTTTGCTCGTTCAGCTCTCCCTGTCTTCTCAAACACTTGCTACAGTTCGGCCTTTTTGTCAGATATTTTTTATTCCATATTTTCTCCTCCCTCTGTCTTTACTTGATCTTGTCAAAGTTTCTCCTCTTTGACAAGGTCGAAGCCCCAGCCGTGCTCGGAGCTGCTTAAGGTCCATAAATGGAGATGTAATGTAATAGAGTGGTGGGGTAATAGAATTCAAAAGGGCTGGGTCTGATCTTGTTAGAGGCGGCCGGCTTGGAAAGGCTCCATCCGGGTCCTCAGGGTCTGGACGGAGAATCTCTTTGAGATCTTCAGTTTGTGATTTGTGTAGAAACAACGTTAGGGATCAAACCAGTCATCAGACCTCAAAAACACGAGGAGAAATCACCGATGGTGTGCTTAGCTTTGTTTAAAGGCGACTCGTTATGCAAAATTAATATTTTTCATGTTTTTGTTCTTCCATTTTGGTCTCAACCACTTCTGGAAACAATCCAAGCACTTAAAAAAACTGTTGCTGGTTGTGCAGTAGGCTCCACTTCTACTTTTCAAGGATGCACAGTTGTTGCAAGGCTTCTGTTTGCAGCCATTTTCACGTGTGACTGTAAACGTGGCCAGCAGCAACTTATTTGCATTTAAAGTGACAGAGGCCCTAAAACAGACTAAAATCTCACTATGTAAGAATGATTTTGTGTAAGAACTGTAATGAACATGTTTTGTATCGCCCATAAACCTTTCCTGACCTGTTCAAGGACGCATAATAGCTCTGTGATGCTGGGAAATGAAACTCCTCTTCATCGTCATCGTTCTAACATAACACTTAAAGGTTTTGGGTCAGAACTGTTTGGAACTATTTGTGTGCCGGATGTTTGTGAAAAATGTCTAAAAAAAAAAGACTTTACTGCAGCTTCAACTGCATCAAACGAACCAGAATGAGGATGTAAATAAAAGTAACTCAATAGCTCAGATTTCAGCTCATATCAGCTGTTCTTAGTGTTTCTGAAACATTTGTTGCTTTTATTTTTTTATTTTTTTTTGCGTTTTCAGCTCAATAATCACTGGAGTTGACGCCAAACAAAAGCCAAGCAGAGTGGCAGCTCAGTGAACGGAAACGCCTCGCTGATGAGAGGGGTCAGTGGCTGACAGGAAGTCCTCGGTAGCTCAAACTGCCACTCGCTACAAATGTGCTGGGGTGGAGAAACAGGTCAGAACAAACAACACACCCAACACTGAGGTGATCAGACCCGACAGCAGAAAACCACCCCAGTCTCTCCTCCAGATCAAAAATATGAAGCTAAGCTGAACAAAAACACTGCCTGAATATAAATACATTGGAAACTGGATAAAAAGGGGAAATTTGTTCCCGTACTCCATATTTAGACACAGATATGTTTCCTTTTCTTTATTTCCTGGAGATATATTGTTGGTAATGACTGTGTCCTGTGTTGTTACACTGATGAAAAACAATAAAAAATGCATTTAAATATAAAATGTATACAAATTTTAAAGCTGCTGCTACTTTTTACAAGTTCAATTAAGGAACACTGTAAAAACCCAATGTAGTTACATTTACATGTTTTTTGGTCTATAAACAGATAAAAACCAGCATACAATGTTTTTAGGCACACGGATGGACGGATGGACGGACGGATGGATGGATGGTGTTTTCAGCTCTCTTCCTTTTGCTCAGATTTATTTTCCGATACCTGAGCTGAAGGGTCGGCCATCTTGTTTCTAGCAGCATCGCCGCTAACAGATCTAATCTAACTTTCAAAATTAAAAGAGAAATGCAGCGCTAAACGAGAAATTAAATTACTTTATGTAAGTTTGTCTGTGTAGACGGGGATTTGGGAGAAACTTCAAACATTTATACACACGCACATCTTGGCACGCGCGCGCACACACACACACACACACACACCTGCCCTCCTCCCCTCCCTAAACCCAGAGGAAATCAGAAACCTGGTGTGGCTGTTTTCAGTGGAACCTTGTTTCTTCTCTTCCTCCTTCCCTGTTTCCTCTCTCTCTCTCTTTTTCTTTCTCTCTTTCTCTCTCCCTCTCTCCGTCTCTCTCTCTCTGCATTTGATCTGCGGCTGGGATGGCGAGGCAGGGTGAGTAAATGAAATATTGATCCGCTGCTCTGTGGCCTTGCCTTCACCTTGTCCCGTGCGCTGAGTTACCGACTCTTCCGTTCTGCTTGTAATAGGAATTATTACAGGAGGCCGGGGCGAGTAATTACTTGGCATGGCGGCGAGGGCGCAGAGGAGGGGCCGTCGTATATTTCCTCTAAAGAAGTTATTTACCTCACTTGCTACTACCTTCAACCCCACGCTGCCCCCGTCCCTCCCCTCTGACCGCCCCCCGCTGCAGCCATGTCTCTCTTAACCTTAATTCAATTCTGCTAAACATCATTAATCATACGAGGCATCATGGGAAGTTTATCAGCCCCCGGCTGAACGGAGGGGTTGTGAGGCTAACTGAGAGACCGCAAGGGCTGAGGAATGTCAGGGATCCCACCTCGTTTATGTTTACTTCACTTATATAATATCTGCAGGGGCGGTCCTAGCAGGGTTGCCAGATTGGGTGGGTTTACACCCAATTGGGCTGCATCTCAAAGGCGGGGCTAGGTCCAACCAGACGTTTTGCACAGTTGAATGGTTGCCAGGGAGATTAAAGGATTTCTCAAACATGCATGAAAGAGTCAAGGCAACAATCCAGGTATGTTTTTGATGAGGAAATCACATTAAAACATGATTTTATTTCTCATAAAACTGTCCCTTTAAAACTTGGCAACAAAAGCTGAACTCTATGAAATTTGGGCCTTTTCTCACGAATATAAAGTGCATGTTTCTGTTGAACTTTTCTTGTGAAAGTTGCGCTACCCATGACACAGTGTAGATCGGCAACCTTTTGTTGCTGCACTCGGCAGAACAGCTGCCTCAGTGACCCGCTGCTACGCTGGAGTTTGATGTATTCCTGCGTCGCCGCTCAAGGAAGCAGCCGTTTGTTTGCGTGATAGATGCGCGGCGGCTGAAGAAAAGGGTCCCCACTGCTGCTCTGTGACGTCCCGCTGCATCAGAAACCCACCGAAGGTCACCACTGACGGGGGAGAAGAGGCAGAGGTGATCCATTGTACTGCTGGACGAGGGCTTAACAAGGCAACTTGACTGGAGAGGTAAAACAAAGACAGATAGTGATTAAACCTTCGTTGGTTCGGCCAGAAACAACCTTGGGTTCTCCCTCCTCCTCCCCAGACATTTCAGGAATTTCTTTTAATCTGAAGAATTCCTCCTTAATGAAAACATTTAAGAAAAATACTTTCACCCTTTTTAGTGACTTCTTTTTATCATTTAGAAATAGAGTTGGCTTTGTTAGAGTCAGCCTCAGTTTGATAGGACTGTGCTGTGGAGAATGAAACGTCCTCTAAACAAGCAGCTTTCAAAGCACAGGCGGCATTCTATCAATGTCACTTTACTTTGGAAGCTTAATTATCCTTAGAAATGTTTGCACGTCACATAAACTCCCACATTTCTCTCATAGCTTTTCACTTCGAAGATGCATTCTGCTCAGACACAAAGACAGCTGCAAAATACAGACAGATGAGAGAAAATTCAAGATTCAAAGTGCTTTGTGTGGAGGGAAAAAGAGCTAAACTGTGAATTTTCTTTGTGAAACAAAGGGTCGTGTATGAAGCCAGAGCATGCAGAAATGGTTCCTGCAAAAACATAAATACCTTCTGAACTTTTTCAGGTTTTACAACCATGAACTTTGATATTTATTTACTAAGAAAATCTGAAAACTGTAGCACACCTTTACAGTTAGCGTCTTTACTGATTGAAATCCCGTGCAATGGATTATCTTCAGCCACATAATTAGTCAACTGATTCCACCCAGATGTAATTTAATCTTCATATAAACCTGACAACAGATCCGGCTTTTGAAGTAATAATTTAAAAAGGAAAACCAGAGGAAGCCATGTCAGTAGTTTGCCTCAAGTTCTGCAGGAAACATAGAAAACATGTAGAAGAAGGCGTTCAGGTCAGATGAGCATGTTGGAAAAATGTCACAGTAGATCAACTCCACAGTGAAACGTCAATAAAAACACACAATTAGTATTTTTTGTTCAGATTCTAACACAAATATCTTACCGTTACCTAGAAACCCCAGCCCAGCCCTCACCCGTTACCTTGCAACACAAGCAGATCTCCAGCATGTTTGGTCAGCTGGCTTTACCGCTGTCTGTGCTGTACAATGGCCGCTGGAAAAGTGTTTTGTAGCTGACTTAACATCCAGAAACCATTCGCTGCTTTCTTGTTGGTTGTGCAGGAGGCTCCACTTCTGCTTTTCAAAGATATATGGTTGTATATATCCTGCTGAAAAGTTACTTGTAAGTTAGATTTGTCTTATTTCAAGTGCACTAAGATATTTGCACGAAAACAAGACAACAATACTAGGTAATATTTTGTGTTTTTGCAGTGTACATGCATTAACCAAATCTATTGTTTTGTTTTTTAAGGCACACTTTAACACTGTGTGCTTCTTTTATGGACTGTTTAGAAATAAAACGTATGAAAGTTATTAAATTGGTTTTCTCTGTAAATGTTTGTGTTTATTGAAGTTGTAAAAAGTAGAAGCAGGTTTGAAATTGACTTCATTTCAGGTCCAAATCATTTTTACGTGAGTCCATCTCAAAGACATCAATAATTGTAAAAATAGTTGTCTAGAACTTTTTCATCATTATTAGGGAATTATTGATTTACAACAAGCTCTTATATTTTGCTGAAAAGTTATTTGTAATTTAGTTTTGCTTTATTTCAAATGTACTAAGATATTTACACTAGAAAACTGACCAAAAATACTTGGTAAGGTTTGATGTTTTTGCATTGTGTGTATTTTTAGCTTCTTGTTTCCTGTATTTCTATATCTATATCTGGTATTCCTGTATTATAATATCTGCTTCCCTTGAGTCATGTTTGGCTCCCTAAACAACAAATGTCTTTGAAAAAATGCAAAGAGTAAAATTTATTTACTAAAAATACATGTTTCTTTTTAAAAATTAGATTTGAAAAAAGCTCAGCATGTAGCCTCTGAGGTTTAGAAAACGTTTCAGTTCTCAGTTTTTGGATCAATAGGCGAGAACACTCCAGACTTCCCCGCTCTCCTTTCAGTCCGGTCTGAACCACTAAAGGTCAGATTACCTGGAGAGAGGACACAAGACAAAGGGCCAGCTCATGCATTACAGACTGAAGGGAGTTATGGGCTTTTTTTGTGGGGGAGTGGATTTAATAAATAACAAATTCCCTTCAACTCCACTGAGGCTTGCTTTGTGTTTAATTGCACTGTATTGATTTTTCTCTCTCTCCGTTCTTGGGTCGGTCATTGCTCTCATTTTGGAACAATCAGGTGGCCAAGGTGGCCCCCAAATGTCATTTACTCCCCTCCTTTTTCACCTTTCTTCTCTCTTTTCTTCCTGGCAGAGTCCTAATAATTTCTTTGTGTTTCACACGTCGCTTCTTGGGTTGTTTCTTGTCTTTCAAGGTGATCTTTGAGCAGTTTTTGAGGTATTTTGATTGCTTTAACTCACAGCATTTTTGTTACGCTTTGAAATAGATGGAAAGTATTGCTTCTTGTAACCCAAGACAGGTATTAAAAAAACGATTAAGAAACGCATTAAGCAGAACTTTTATAACAGACATGAGTCACTCCACTTCACAAAGAGGCAGTCTTTAATTACATCTCTTACAGAACAGGAGTGCAGGTTGGCCAAGTGTTTATTATCATAATTTCTTTGTCCTTTCCCATCTTTAGCATCACTCTTCGTATTAATCAAAGTGTCAAAAAGTTTGAAAAACGCTTCAAAAGGTGACTTCAAGTGTAGCAGAGAACATCAGACAACGCGGAAAATAATAAAACTCCCGTTAATCTAACTCAGCCAGCGGCCCTCACCTTTAAATGAGAGTGTGTGGTAAATTATATGTTTTGCGCTGACAGAGGTGCATGCAAAATGTCGCCAATAAAGCTGCAGCATGCTCAACCTCTGCTCCGACGAATCAGGTAGAAAAATCACACGTGTCAACACAGCCGACAGCCGCCTCGGAGCCCCGTCTGAGGACGGAGGTGTATATTTTCATCTAAAAGCAAAGCAATTTGCAGAGATCCTCCCCTTTAAAAGCTGACTTGACATTTCCTGCCATTATGAGCACAATGTGCTCTATTATAGAATGAGTGGCAATTAAGCGCATGTGAAAATGTCAGATGAATTACAGCTTAGTGAGGTTAACCCGGTGACCTGAGGTTACCGTCTCCAACGCGATCCTCCCCTTGGAAACTGTCTGCATGTTTCCATCCGGCCAAACCGGTCAGGTGAAGTTTTTAAGGGAAACAATAAACTTTTAATGAGAGAAGATGGAAAATAAGCATCACACTGCATTATTACAGGAGTAAAACTGTCAACATGGTTTCAGAGAAAACAGATTAACATCAGCAT